TTCTGCCCGTGGCTCTGACACTGTTATCAGGACTGTAACTACAGCTGGCTGGAATCAGAGAGCTGTACCTTGTGAAAGCATCTGAGGTTTTCAAAGTTGTTTTCAGTATCTATTAGTGCAAAAAAAATGAACTTTTCACACTGCTGTTTTTAATGGCTCTGCTAGAGTCGCCATCGCCTATCCATTCACAAAAATGGATGTGCCTGGGTGGCTCTGGAGGGGGATGTACTGTGGTCCTACGTTGGTCTGAGTAGAGCAATGCTGAGTCTGGGCACCACTTAGTGATACAGGACAATCAGAGGAATCCAGCAGGGAAGAGTGGATTTGGCATTGGTTTGAGCCTTTTCCAGTTCTTCTTTAGCTGGAGGAAGGTCAGTGGGCTTTGCTTTTCCAGCAAGGGCAGAAAGAAGGGAATGGCCATATTTGTACAGTGCCAAAATATACTGCACACATAAATGGTAGGTGCATTTGAAGTAGAACCAATGTTTTTGTGGTGAATGCCGAATTGTTTTTAAATCTTATTTTCTTGTGCCAGTACAAATCTTTCTGAATACCAGCACTTTGCTGTTGGTGGTATGTAGAAGAGGGATGGGGCAGTGGCAGCACCCTGGCATTGCCCCACAGCATGCTGCCAGAGGACTGCCTGGTTGCTCAGTTGGAAATGCAGGATGGCTCTTTTAGCAATAATTAAGATGGTACACTCAGGTATTCTGGCATGGGGGAGATCATGTTTTAACACTTTGCTTCATTCCATGCTGAAACATATCTAAGTTTGTTACAACCTATGGCATCTTACTCATTACTATCTCATTAACCTGCTAATGGACACATCACAATACTCATGTCTGTAACTATACAAAAATCAAGGGGAGAAGGATGATTGTATAGATTTCTGAAATCCACTGCAATAAACTCTTTTGGGGAATTCAGTTTTGAGGAAACGTTACATTTCTTAAAAACAAATGTATGAAGTGTAGATTTTAAAAAGGGAAGTGGGGGGAGCCCCCAAGCAGAGCATCAAGCAGCAGTTCCCACCCTGGCCCAGCTGTGCCTGCAGGACTACCACTGCCAGGCATCCCATGGGCTAAGCTGGGCCTGGCTTACACTCTCACATCTGCCCTGACAGTGGCACTGTGGTATGGTTGTGTTGACTGAGCCTAGGGAACTGCTGTTGTCCACATTTTCCTCTGACCAGAGAGACATGAGGCTCACTCTATTTCTTTTTGGGAAACTGAAGGCAAATCAGGTTTTGTTTTGGTTTGGTTTTTTTGGTATTCTGCAGGTGTCCCAGGTTACAAAACGGAGCTGTCCAATGCACGTGACTGAAGCCAGCACCCTGTGTTAGGCTCCAGAAATCTCTTCACATAGCAATGTGATTCACATCAACCAATGTGTGATTTAAACACTGAGGACAGAGGAAGGAGAGGAAGCATTTATCTGAATTTTTTAATAATCCATTTGTAATAGAGGAAAAAGTCTAAAATTCCTGTGGCTCTGAAGAAAAGACCTGGAGAGACAGAGATGGCTATCATGAAGACTGCTTTCCCATCACTTAAAATGGGGAGACAGGTAACTTTATTGTACACTGACACACACATGCACAAGGGGTAAAGAATATGAGCATAGCATCATCTGGAGCCAGCTGCCACAGCCCTGGTTTTTATACTGAAAAACCTCTGACAATATGTAGCTGGCCGAAACAAAATCAGATACGACAGTAAAAATACGCAGCCAGTATTTATGTCTTGGCCTTTAAGAAAAAAAAAAAAAAAAAGATGAGTTATTATATGATCATTTATATATTAAAGAGAATTTGAGACATACTTGATTAAAAACTAGCTGAAAGAATGAACCTGTTTTGAACTTCAGCAAATTATTCTATGTAAGGCTGGGGATTAAGGGCATCTCCAAGGTCATTTGCCTTTTTTGGCATGCTGCTTTATGGCACCCTTGAATGTTCCTGCACAAGCCATAGCCAGTGACATCCAGTAGAACAGACAAAAATGATCATCTATAGCTTTTCTTGTGATTTGTAGACCTACCTTGTATGCAGCTCAGAGCCAGCTCTGCCCTGTGCCAGCCCTCAGGCTGCAGAGCACTAGAAAGCAATCTGCCACTGGGTCCTTCACTGGACACAGCTGCCAACACAGCCACAGCCTAGGAATTAAAAAAGTTAGTCAATCGCATTGGGGTTTTCTTATTTCTTTTTTAAGAGAAACTTTCTGGGTTAATTATTCCCCCCTAAAAAAAGAGAACGCAAAAACTGCGCCAACACACAGAACTGTGCAAAGCTGTAGAGTGTAGGAAAGAAAAAAAGAAAAAGTCAAGTTTAGTTATTTGCTGTAGGGGGTATCTGCCAATGTAATTGGCTGCTGTGCCTAATTACTGATTAAAAAAGCTCTATTATTTAATAATTTGATGATACAGCAATTCTAAATAGAAACGTAAATTGTCAGAGCTGCGTAGTTCTTTCCGTTGGAGTTGGCAGGTAGGAGGGTTATGTTGCATGCAGAGGGTTTGCAACTGAAACATGAGCAGTTCAGGACAAACGGGTTTGGAAAGCAGCCAGGCTCAAATGCAGTGTTGCTTTCTGCTTTCTGTGGGTCTGGAAGTACCTCTGAGGAAGAAAGGACAGCCTGGAGGAGGGAGTCTATGGAAAAAAACTGGGTTGTAGAGGCCACGTGGCGCTGCTGCACTGCCAAATTTTACCACAAACTGTGTGCTGAAGTTGTATAGATGTATTGACAGCTGATGTTCTTTGAATTAAATAACAGAGTAAACATGGATTTGTAATCTAAAACCTTCTCCTGCCATGTTTAATGAATTTTTAGTTCAGTACGTACATAAATAATCAGCAAGTCAAATAACACAACTTACACTTTACAAAGTGAGATAATTGAACATAGAATGTAAACTGTCTCTATTACGCACAGAAATGTACATAACCTCTGCCAAAAACCCACAGCAGTACACTTGTGCAGCTTTAGCAGTCACAGGCACTGAAAGACAGAAGGCTTAAATATTGCCTTTTATTATAATGTAGAAAACATAAAGCAGTATCAAGTGTAATAATAATTTCTGAAAACCATTGGAGAGTAAAAATAGATTAGAGATTTGCATTCAGGAATTAATTTTTAAGATAATAATTTTAATTCAATTAGTTAGAAAAAAAAATTGACATTTAAAAAAAATGAAAGCATTATTTAAACACAATAGTCTAAGCAGAACTTGCTTCTAACTGGGCCATTCAGTAATAGTAAAATAACACTGAGTCATATTTGATACCACTGTTCTGAAAACTCAACATTCTCTGTCGCTGAGACAATGCTCTGTAATGCTCCTTTCTTCTTATTGTGTGCGTGCCATTATTTCATATTCTTTTTTTTTCATTCCTCTGTTTAAAAAGAAAAAAGTGAGCCAAAGCAGCACAACCTTTGGTAGAATGATCTGTGACACCCCGTAATCTTTTGATACTGTCTTGATTTCTAATTGTGTTTTCCACATTTTTAGCAAAAGAAATATGAAAAAAAATCAGAAATGTAACCTATATTATTATACTTTAATGTGATGTTCTACTTTTCTGTTTGTAGTTCTTGAAGTTTTTGTCTTACTTCATTAAACATTTAATAAATCACTGCCAGTTTTGTGACAGATTTTAACCATAACACAAACAGCGGGAGGTGTAAACTCAGTTCAGTTCGTATAGGCATATAATATCCGTGTCGACATCATCATCCCCTCAAGGCATATTGGCAAAACGGCCAATGGAAGCTAAGCTTTTTCCGACAAAGCTTCGAAAATAAAGTTTTCTTCTTTTATCTTACTACAAATCAATTGGAGCCCTTACAGCAAAATCCTATAAAATAACTTCAAACACCGCTTCTTAGTCTAAAAATTTGTATTATGGCTAAAACTCTTTGAAGTTTTATGACTGAAGTTTGGAGAAAAATGATTTAAGTGCTATCTGCTAGACATCAGAGTGTCAAAATTTCACTCAGTTTTCTTGACACATAAACTGCTACCTACTGTATGTTTTTTAGGATTTTTTTCTTGCTTTTAACCACCTAACCCAGCCTGCTTGATGAAAGTTTCTTAACCACAATTTATCCCATTGAATTAATACCCTTTCAAGCTTCAGCTTACAATAACTGATTATTTCATTTTTGATTTTTAGCTTCTCTGACAACACAGGTGGCAGTGGGATGCAGAGCGCTTCCATGGAAGCATCATGTTGGTTTACAAAGAGAAAAGAAAGCAGTTGGAGTGCTAAAAATAAACCAAGATTGGAACCTGAGACCACGTCAGTCTGGCTGCTCCTGCTGCAACAAGGCTGGAGAGGCACCCACGGCATTCCCACAGGAGCCGAGGAAGGGGTGACAGGTAAGTGCTGGGTGCAGTGTTCTTCCCCTGGGGGCCATGGAAGCCAGGATGGGCACCCAGCCACACGTGGGTCCTGCACCATAGCACGCTTCCCAAGGGTCTGCAGCCAGACCTGTCCTCTGGGCACCCTCAGTTGGAGGACAGCAGTCCATTTTCTGGTTTCTGTCCTCCCAGTTCTGGGGATGCCACTCTTCCAGCAGTGCTCAAACACAGTTCCCCTAAGCATTTCTGAAGTCAGCACTCTCTGTGCAAGACAACTCTGTCCCTTCTGAAAGATCCCAGGACCTGCTGACTGCAATCTGAACTGCTTTGTTTGGTTAAAATGCCCATTGAGGTCAAAAACCTGAGGAAGAGCTTTGAAATTTGGGGTGTAAAAAGAAAAAGCTTGGCCTAAACTGTTCCTTTTCCATTTAGTTTACTTAAGAAATAAAATTTAAAAAATATATATATATACCAAAAGGTTATTCTCTGTAGAAGGATAACAGTGTTGTGTTATCAAAACTGTATCAAAGTGACAGTGTCAGAATTTAGTGGAACGGTTTGCATACAAAAATTAAACAAGGAATGTAAAATCATCTGTGGAGAGCAATGGGGAAAAAAAAATGTGGAGAAAAAGAAAATCAGTGACATCCTACAGAGTGCAGGCTTGCAAAATTTTATTCACCCAAGATGAGTGATTTGTTTTGATGGGCAAGAAAATATAATCATTTGAGGGAAAAAAAGAGAGAAAGAGGAGGGGGTCCATTATCATCAACTTGGAAAAGGGTGGGTGAATAGATTTTGTGCCTGAGCTGGTAAATTTGTAGTACAGCTTTGCATGGCTGGAATAATATAATAAACTGACTTAAATATAAATGCCATTTAGGAACTATTCCATAGTGAACAGTTAAAATGATGGCATTCAACAGAACTGCCACAACAGAGCCTGCTGTTGCTGCTAATTTGCTGAAGTAGATCTGCTGTCTTTACTTCCTCCGCTGCTCCTGCTGCACCTCGAGGCATGCTGAGGGCTCATCCATCATGTGCTAGCTCATAACAAGGCAAGGAGAGGGAAGCTCAATTGTAGTGTACAAGAAACTGAAGCGTAGGTCCAAAAGGTCACAGGAAACCAGCAACTGTTTAGAATGGTCGAGCTGGGAAAAAGATCCTGTGAAGGAAAACAGCATGAGAACAGTTCGCAGGCTCCTCCTGAGCATCCATGGGGGCTGCTGCTAGCAGCAGTGCACTTGGAGCTGTGTGCAGGAAGGGCATCCAGAGCATGCCAGGGACAAAGCCCCGGAAGGCCACATCGTGCTTGATAAGCTTTTAATGCAGAACAATTTGAAATTGCCTTTAATGCTCCAATGGAGAACTGAGATACGCAAGATTTTTCCGTTCTGTCATGTGGCATTAGGGCAAAAGACTGGATAATAACAGTGATACATTAGTCCTGCCAGAGAACTGCACTGACACATGCAACATAGGCACACGGGCATATTGTCAGCACCTCCATGAGCACTGCCATGACCTAACTTTCAAGCAGCTGCACTCACGTCACACAGCTCACGGCTTTGAGCAGGCCCCGGGCTCTAGCAGGCAGCTTTGGAAATTTGTCTTGCCTTTTCCTGATCTTTTCACCTGGCCTTTTGTAAGCTGGTAGGTAGAGAAAGCCACGCCGGTCCATGGCGTCAAACAACAGCTGAGCGAGCATTAAATCCCCTGGCAAACAGTTTAACACACTCTTCACAAACTGATTCTCCAAGATAAGCCATCAGGCTGCATGCAGATGACAAAGCTCATTCTGACAACGCAATCCAGATTTCATGCTACCAGTCACGTCGATCAACATCTGAACTAACGTCAGAGTCTTCTCTTACTAATGAGCTGCTGTACTGAGCTGCAGCCTTGCTATCATTCAGGTAGCTGTAATGAGATAGAATGAATGGCAAGACCTGTCTTCAGAAGCTTCCTCTCATCCAGCTATAGAGGGGCTTCACCGTTCACTTATTCCAGTACAAACCATGAGTCTTTTTCTGGTCTCCATCAGCATCACATATGGCCTTACTCTAGCATCCCATTTACATGCTAAATGCAGCTCTTCAGAGAGTTTATTCTGGGAAAGAACATTGACACACACATTAAAAAAAAAAAAAAAAAAAAAAAAACATGCTCTTTTTTTTCTAATCACTTGCAATCATATGTTTGCATATAAGAATTTCTTAATGAATAACTTGAATTATAATGAAATTACATTGCCACGTTCCCCAAGTTGGACACCTCATTGTACTTTGCTCTCCTTCAATTATCTGTGCACCAGGCACATTCATCTAGCTGCTCAAGCTTTGATTTTAAGCAGCAGCTTCCACACAGTGGTATATGCTATTTACACATCCCTTAAAGTCACTGGAGGAACCAGAGGGCTGTGCTCCAAATCCATAGCTTCCCATCAATATAACAAAGCCACAATAATGATTTCTTTATTTTTCTTTGCCCGTCATACTGCTGCTGAATGGCCTGAACTGAACGGTTACTGCCAGGCCCAGAGGTTGCGTCCAAAGCAGAACTAGGGCAGTTTGCTGGGAAAGTAATTTATAGCCTCAGCAATTGAAGAAGCACCCATAAACACATGCTGCAGGAGAGGAGAAGTCGATGAGCTATAAGGAAAGCTCCAGCATTTGTTACAATCTTCCACTCAGCCTCTCTATGGCATTCTTCTTTAGTTACTAAATTAAGAATAGAGTGGTTTTGTTTCTGTACTGGGGTTAACTCTCAGCACAGACAAGTTGGCTATTATTTGTTACTCCTATCAAAACAGTCATTATAGAAAAGCTGGGCTTGGATTCATATTGCAGACTGAGGTTGTGACTTGCATCTTTCTCATCTTCCCAAACATTTCAGTCAGGTTTTGTTATTCTCTATCTTTAACCCACATCTTATGTATCTCAGTGGCAGGTCTCAGCATGCAATTATTTATTCACTTCTCATTCTATATCACATTAAAAGGGTTACTGAGTTTAAATCCTTAAGACTGATTATCTGCTGGTTAACACTTTAGAAGCAATTAACCAGCAGTATTGTTGCTTATCAACTGACAGAGGCATAGCTGCACTCACATTTCTCCGTGGAGCATCTCACATGCTTGTTTGCTTGGAGATGACAGCAGGAGTGACCTGTCCACTGAGCCCATTGCAGTGGTTCCTTCCCATGGTCCCTGGCATTGGCAGGGCAGATATATCAGTGGGGTTCAGCAGGATTGTTTGTGTTGGTTACTACATCCTCAGTCAGGACAGCTCTCAGAGCAGAGCAGCTTCTCACACTGCTGCCTGTGCCAGGCCCCTGGCCAGGACTCCTCAGCAACCCTGTCACTGCTAGGATGCTGCAGCACTCCCCCAGGGCTGGTGGCATCTGGCTTTTGCTAAAGCCACCCTTCAGGCTCCTCTGGTTCCTCCCAAAGGCCCAACAAAGCAGACCAGAGACTGGGGCATTGCCAATCATCTTGAACAATGGCAGTGCCATTATCCTTGACTAAGGCACACAGAGGAAAATTCGGTAGTGGTGTGATGAAGGGAAGGACTCAGATCCCTTGATTTTTTAATGCTAGGGAAGTAGTATGGAAGGTACAGAGTTTCCTTGTGTCTTTTATTTCCTGGACAGCTACAGTTTCTTGGAAATGTATATTTTCTCCAGGATTAGCATTCATTCAAAGTTTACCCTTTGTTAATTAAAATGGAGATTCACCTTTGCTTCTCAAGTTTGCCCAAAAGGCTCAAGGTTCCTAAGAGCAGCAGTCCCATTCCTGTCAGACTAGCACATTACCCACAAGTGCTGTAGTGAGGTAGCCCTGCCCTATGCCCTGCCCACAGGTTTTTGCTAACAGAAGTCTGCAGACCCCTTGGTTTCAACACAGAGTGGGCTCCCACTACCTAGAACTCAGCTGTTGTTCCCTAATGTTACAGAAGAGCACTACTGGGAAAGGATGGCAGCACTGAAAGTAGTGTAAATAAAATAAATCCATGGGTCTACAGAGAGGTAGTGTTCCATCTGAGATTTATATGCAAGCCCTGAAAAGCAACCCAGTGAAAGCATCGCTAATTAGAATGATAAAACATGTGTGTACAGAGAAGAGATTATTAAAAGCATGAATTATTTCTTATTAGGATAATAGCATCTAATTAAATGTTGAAAGAGGTGGACTGCAGTTTACACTGTAAAATGATCTGTTAAATACATTCCCGTTAACATCAATGCAGCTATTGACAAACAGATCCAATTTTGAGTCACTTTGAGAGAGTAGACAACAGCAAGTTTCACTACCACTCTTATTTTACAAGCATTAATGAACAATTAACCAACACTAGCACTCTTTCCATCTGTAATCCTGTAGTAGGATCACTAATCTCCACCACTAGCAGCTAATGATGAAGGTCTCTTAAGCTTTACTTCTTATCTCAGCCAGTTCTTAATACTTGCATAAGTATGCTTTCTGAGCAAGCCGGCCCCCCGTTGCTCTGCAACTGGAATACAAAAGACTGGTGAAATTTTTGAAGGGTTTTTTGTTCAATAACACTTCTATACTTATGTTTGCCTTCCTACAACAACAAACACAAGTGATCAGCAGAGGACTAGCAAGGTCACCAAGGGCTCTGTGTTTCCATACTTGTTCTAATACTTATAAGAATGTATTCATGCCCTATTATTTATATTCCCTGTCTGCTCAGGCAGAAGCTCTAAACTGAAAGGAAATAAAGGGGAAAAAAAATAAAAGACTAAAACTGTATTTACTTCAAGAACAAGTTTGCTGTTTGTATCAAACAAAAAAAAAAGTTAGAAAGTGACTGTCATTAAAAATACATGACAAATAGGTAAGCTGAAATTTTGATAGTATACATTTTCTAACTTCTCTTTCAAAGGGTTCCAGTTTACACCATACACACAAGATCCATACAGCAGGATAGCAGGAACATCACCAAGCCAAGACAAGCCAGCAGCATCCTCTCAGCTGGGAACACAGCAGGGTCATGAGCTGTGTCACAAGACCAGACACTCTGGGAGCGACCCAGAAGAAGAATGGGGTACAGATAGGATTTCATAAAACAGGCCCTCCTCTTTTTCAAGGGTGTATAATCAACAAATATACAGAAGGTGTGGTTAGGCTGATCTACAGATTGTACAACTAGAAAGATTATCACAGTGGAAAGAGATAATCAAAAATAAATGAAAATACTCACCTGCATCCTAGGCTTGCAGAAAAACTCCAAAGGGAGCAATCTCCAGAAAGAGATCCTTCCCCCAGTGGCAGTCAGCCCTTAAATGGGGTCTGGGAGAGGTGGAGCCAGGCTCCATCCCTTCCAGTCACACAGCTGAATTGCCTTCACCTGTGCCCCCATGGCTGACTCAGTGCTTGCCTCAGGTGATCAATCTGAGGGTCAGGCTGTGATTCAACAGTTCCCATACAAAGGGTAACTTTACCTTATAGGAGAAACAGATGAATTTAAGAGCATAGATTGCTGCAGAAGGTGAAGAACAGGTGAGCTGCAGAAGACAGGTTCAGTGAGGTTGGTGGCACTGGTGATGGGACCCTGCCTGCACCAGCTGTGTGGCTGGCAGTGCCAATGCATCTCCACTTGAAAATGGAGGTTGTGCTCCAGGCAACAGGTTACCAGGAGCTGGGAACAAACATATCCACAAGCTATATCCTTAGGGATGTTATAGTAATAATAGGCAGTGTGAACTATTGCCGAATAAATGTGCTGTATAAGCAGCTAGAAATTGAGAGTTAATGTTTTTAAAGCAATCAAATCTGCCTTCTTGTATGCAGTTGGTCCAAAATTTCTTCTAGTTTAAGGCATACAAAGAAGCTGACTTCACCTGGCACCCATGGCTGAAGGATGTCATGGAAAGCATGCCTATTGCCACCAACACTAATTGGCCCCATGCAAATACAGGCTGATTTTTGTTTTATCTGTACAATGTATACCACAATGCTGACCTTTTCCTTCAGCAGAGCTCTTCAACAGAGATAATAAATAGCATTGATTAAAGAAGAAAAAAACAGTTGTTCTGTGCCTCTGCAGGAGTTTGTGAAAGCACCTCACTTGTACCATACTGCCTCCTTTTTTCTGTGCTTGCAACTACCTGGCCTGGGCTGGGCTAGCGCAGCACCTGGCAGCGGTACGGGGGGACTCCAGTGCAGCCCCAGAACAGCAGCTCTGGCTGGGCACAAGGCATGCTGCTCAGCCTTACCCGAAAAGTGCCGCTGACCCCCCCCAGATGTGTCTGGCTGTGTCTGGCGGAAGGAGCAGAGGTAAAGGAATGAGAGATTCTGGGACTAGCAGAACCTGAACACATCCTCCATCTACATTACTGTAAGGGCAAATATTCCAAGGTGGAAATCTGGAGTAAGACAGATAAACCTGTTCTGATCCTGGCTGGAGCTCTGAGGTTCTCATATTCCTGTGCTGCACAACATGCTGTCAGTACATCCAAGGGAGGTGTTTGGAGGGGATGAAGCAGCTCAACTCTGGAACATCTCTCTTTCAGTAATGGTCTTTTGCAAATATCTGTCGGGAATGCAGAGATACTTTCTGGAACTACGTAATGCTAGAAAATTCACACGCATCCTACTGCTTGCAAGATTGTTTGGTATGAGAAGTATTAACAAGAAAACAAAGATCTGATGCTGTGAATCATATTCTGGGGAGTGGACAGAGGGTGGCCTATTTGTCATTATTCTGTGTCTCCTGCTCATTTGCACAGCTGTCAACTCCAGGGCTGTTTGGAGTGGCTGAAACAGCAGCATAGCAATGGACTGCTGCAGCAGAGGAGTTCAGCACAGCTTCATCAAATGGTTCCTTGGATTGAGCATAGAAACTGATAACAATTTTCTTCCAACTGCTCTCAAAATTCTCATTTATGTCTATTTAATTTTTGTGTTTTCCCAAAAGGAGGGCATTTTCACTTGCACTTGCTGTACAAAGAAAACGTCAGTGTTTAGAATATTGTTTCAGTTTTCCTGATATAATAAAGGGAAAGATAAAAGTTAATTAACAGTATTGTTTCCACAATAGCAAGAGTTTGTCTGTGATGACAGTGCTTTGAATTAACCAGGAGGAAGCCAAAGCGTTGGTTCAACATTTCTACTTTATAGATATTGGATATTTTTCTCCACCCCCATCAAGCTCACATATTCATTACCCAAATTGCCTATCCTCAAAGTGATAATATAGTGTGGTATAACATGCCCCGACAGGACACAAATTGACTCTGTGCCTAGATACTATACAGACAGTGTAAAGCAAATATCTCACTCTATTATCTGTTGTCTCTATGAATCAACAGATTACATGGTTCACTGGGTAGCTGAATAACTTTTACACAGTTTGCTCATATCTATTTACACATATTCTACAAAAAATGCATTAACACCAAAGAACAAATGTAAAAAAAAGGATACCTGCAGAATCCAGGCAAATTACACGTGAAAAAAATAAATAAATAAATCAAACCACAATAAACAGTGATGCCTGAATTTCTTACACAAAATCTGCAGATAAGAAAGGAGTCTGTTCTCTAACAACAGAAATCTAAGACCAAGAGTCATGTGGAAGGCCCTAAAAAACGTTAAGAGGAACGTTATATTTTGTGATGAGTTGTGTTTGTAGCTGAGACTATGCACCCCATTTTACAGGCCCGTAATATTTCAAAGAGTAGAGTTGCAACCACAATGGGTGCTTTACTGACAGTGTCTGGGCAGACAAGACGTTTTGCTCTCACTGAGCTATAGATATGCAGGGCACCACACCTCCCATGCTAACAGTCAGTCTTAGCTGCTGCTTTGTACAGCCCTTTCCAAGAAGATAGGCCACGCTCTCCATGCCTCATGTGACAACATAGCCAGCCAAGCAGCTGACATGAACTGAAGGTTTTGTGACCATTCACTGTCCCTCAGCAGCAAGGACACACTTCAAAGGTGTCTAAAATCCTCTGGGATAACACAGCAGCCATGTCCAATAGCAGTATTTGGTACACTGGACTGCAGGCAAAATGGTCTTTGGAACTGCTGAAGAGCTTCACGCTGCTTTTACTGGCACCACTGACAAAACAACTTGGCCTATGAAAAAACACAGTCCTGTAAGGTCAGGCAGGTTTGTTGCCTAGTTTGTTCGGAGCTTTTAACATATCCCAAACTTTTAGATAGTCCAGTCAGCATACCTCACCATAGATATGCTTCAGATTGAACTCGGCATTAACAAATTACTGCTCTTCAGTAGCCTACGGGCCAACTGAATGGTGATAATCATTTAATGCATGTGGGTTTTTCTTACTGTACTTGTAGAGATTTCTAGGAAAAATTATAGAAATGTGGGTTTGCCATGTATTTTCACCTGAGTTCTTTTTGCACTGCTTTCAATGAGGTCTCTCGCTTTAGCACTTTAAATAATACTTTTATGTCTTGCTTCTCAGCTCATTTTTGTCCTAAAATTCAAGCAGTGTGAAAACAAACACTTGTAAAAGCAAAGGTCAGCAAAAAAATGCACCCACTGACTTCCTTTATTCCAACAGAAACAGCTTAAAAGCAAAGAATAAACAGTCTGTTGCATTTATATAACATAACCGGTACGTCACAGCAGTATGTTAGTGCTGAAAACAGGCTATAAATGAGCATAAAATTAAGTATATTTAATTATACAGATACTACAATACTGGACACCTTAATTTACTTTCTCAACATTAGAAGAATGTTAAAAGGAAAAAAAGAGAATAAATAATTCAAAATGAATCAATTAAAAACTAAATAATAATTTCAAATAATTTCCCACTTCTGCTGTGTTACTTAAGGAGCTGGTTGAAAGCTTTCCACTCTTGCTTGTTTCACAGAAACAAATGACTTTTTCTTAAATGACTCCACATTCTCCTTCACCAGCTCTGCAACACACTGGTGCACTTCCAGGACCATCTCATTTCCAACTCAGATACCATTTAAACCCATGCCCTGATTAGGTCAGATCTCTTGCACCCTGTATCACCAGAGAACAGAATTTCCATGCAGCCACTGGTTTGTCCTAAGACACTGGCACTAGAAGTTACTGCATTCAGCTTTTGTCTTATTGCCTGGCTTCTGTGCCCCTGATCTTCTTCCAGCAGTGGAAACAGCTCTCATCTTCTCTTGAACGAAAATATCAGTCTGCCTATCACCAGGTGCTTCTTTCCTTTTTTAAGAGGTAAGTTTGTAAATTTCTGAGTTATCTCAAACCTAATACTATAGTGAAGCAAAATAACAAACAAAGCAAATTAACAGATTATACGATGGGGAAATCAAATGGTAATATAACAAAAACTTGCAGCTATTCATTCAACTTTATTCAACAGAATGGCATCAGTAATTTATTTTAAAACTGAAACTAAACACAGAGATGCATTTAACTAAATTTAGTTTGTTGGCATGAAATGCATATTTGTGGGAAAAAAAGCATTTCAGTGCTCATTAAACAGCAGATGGATTCATCCAAAAACTGCTGAGAACTGGATTTTTTTTAAAGTACGGAGTGAGGGAGATTTCTGATGTTCTGAGTTGATTAGTAAAAATTAATTTGAAATGGGAGATTTGCTAAAACTGGTAGATTTTCCCTTTGTTGCCTGCTACACTGGGCAACAAATCCTGAATGGGTTTGGTAATGGAAGATGCTGTTGTAACAGCCTTTTGTGTGTCCTGATTGGAAATTCAGCTACATAACCCTCACTGAACTGTTTATCTTATGTACTTATTTAACTAACATTCAAACTGACAAGTCTCCTATTTCTGGGCTTTCTTTTTATACTTTAATGTATGCCTTATCAGATGAAGCTCAGATACTACCAAACTTTGCATGTTTTTGATTTTGCACATAAACTGAAGGGCAGAATTCCAGTCTATGTCCTCAGTCATTCAATTTTTCAAGATCTTTGAACAAGACTTCAAACCCTGCAAAAATACAACCCAAATACAGACTTGCTTCTCTGTCTGTACAAATACGTGAAAGAAACCGGTATGTCAAGTTTCAATGTAGGCAAGCCTAATTGAAGCTTTAACTACATTCGAAACAAGAGGCAGGCAGCACTACCAAACTGCTTTATTCAAGGGCAGAAAGACATTCAGGAATAGAGTTGCTGGAATTATTCATTACAAATAAATTATCCAATTAATTTAGGCAATTTTTCTGATCATTAATAATTCACAAGCTGCTCCTGATAGTGGTGAATGTGTGCATCAGCCCCGATCCTGACAACACTTAGACACATGTTTAGCTTTTCATATTCTCCATAATCCCA